TGTGTGGCCTTGGGCAAGCTGCACAGTCCCAGGAAGAAGGGAATGATAAACCACTTCTGAGGATTCTCTACCTGGAAAACCCTGAAAAAAAAATTATTTTTTTGCCATAAGTTAGAATTGATTTGATGGCACATGATTATGATTATTATCACTGTGAAAATATGTTTTGTAGTACATGACAGCAGCTTGTAACATTCTCTTGTTCTGCACTCCAGATCTCATTGCCCACCCACTCCTGAAATAAAGAGACGGACACAGATGATGGAGTTAGCTAGGGCCACATTTTATTACACAATTTTAACCACCCTCAACCTGCCGAGGGACCTGAACATAGAGCAGGTTCCTGGGGCAGCCACCAGAGGTACTCCTTATGCCTCACCCCTTCCCTAACCCTCAAACAGGCGAGTCCCAACCTGTCTAAAACTGGGAAAAGCCTCCCCATCTGCCAGACATTACAATCCTCTAGAACTTAGACAGGCAGCATACAAGGCTACCCCACCATGCACCCCTCATGCTGGCAAGCGAATCTCTGGATCCTGGTTGCCATGATGCTGGGTGCAGTAGCACCCCATGTGCTTCCTGAGAACTCAGCGATACTCACATATCCGCCAATGTAACATATTTAAGCATGACTCAGCCAATTACTGTAACGGTCATAAATGTCCCCTTGGGTAAAGCTGTGTATGAGTACTTTTTATCGGTTTTGCCAAGCAGTAACAGGTCCATTCCTAGGCACCCAAGCCATTGTGCACCTGATTATTATAGGATTTTACTGGAGCTGTTCCATACGTTGTTAGCATTAATTATTGATCTTTGGTTTTATTGTTTCCGTTTCTATGTTTTCTATGTTTTTCACTATGCTGCTTTGGAAGTTTTTACTCTAAAAAGAAACCTGCAGTTTGAAGCAAAGAAAGAAAGAAAGAAAATAAAAATAGTACCTTGGGAAATAGAGGAATCATGCATTTTAATACCAACTTTTGGTGAACTTCAAGTCTTGTGGTTTTTTTCAGATGCATTGAAAAGGATCCTGGACAAGGGTCTAATCCAGCAGGTCTCTTATTTTGTTCAATGGCTATTAGGCCTCTTCTTATGTTCAGTGGATATTGGTTTGGTATCACGTTGCTCTTTTCATTTTGACTGGTTCCACGTTAGGAATATAAAAGCTTCCTACAACTATATATTCATGAAGGCTTTCACGGCCGGGATCTAATGGTTGTTCTGGGTTTTTCGGGCTCTTTGGTCATGTTCTGAAGGTTGTTCTTCCTGACGTTTCGCCAGTCTCTGTGGCCGGGATCTTCAGAGGACAGCACTCTATCCTCTGAAGATGTGCTGTCCTCTGAAGATGCCGGCCACAGAGATTGACGAAACGTTAGGAAGAACAACCTTCAGAACACGGCCAAAGAGCCCAAAAAACCCAGAACAACCACTTCCTACAACTTTTGTTACAGAAATTTTTAGTAAATATCACCAATATTCACAGGTTAGAGCAAATGATTCAGAGCTGTTCTTCGAATAACTCACCACTTAGTTTTTAAAGCAATGCCATGATCCTTAGACATTTTTCGGGGTGGGGGTGGGTGGGAAATTGTACTGTTTTCTTTCTAGTGTCTAACACACTCAGCACAGAACTAGGCCATTGAACAATAGAATGAACAGCACTCTGCACTCTTCTGCTGCATAATGCATCAAGTACACAGTACAGAAACTGTTCACAAAATTAAAAGCAGGTATTTCATGTCTGAAAATTGAAGATGACATGACATTTAGTATTGTTTCACAGCAATGAACAGCATTTTGTTCATTCACAACACAATGCCAAGTTCAGTGTTAAGAAGTACCAACAACACATAAGGGAAAACATGTCGTGTTTTTTTCTTGAGAACAATAAATTAATGATAACCATTTAACACTTTGGTACAATATGAAGTTTCAACAGAGCTATGATTGTGAAAGAATATAATTCTGGCATATTGTTATGAGGCTCCTGTCCTTTCGTATTTTGAAGGTCCTGTTGATGTACACACTTTTCATGACTGTTTTGTTCCGGCTTACCAGCACTCAAAAATATTATGTTTTTCTAGGAAGAAGCAATGTCCTTATCTTTTCTTCTTGCTCTCTTTTTAAAAATTCCCATTGAGGTTCAGTTCGAATTCCTAGACAAAATAATAGCACCATTTCTGTCATCTACTATTCCTTCTTTGAAATACTTGTCTTTGAAAGTCTCTTGCATGAAAATCAGACTTGTGTTTTCTCAAGGGTTCCAATGCAAGCGCGTGTCTCTAAGAGTGGGATAGTGCTTGTGCCACTGGTGATGTTTTCCATTAAATTAGTAGGAAGTTTTAATGGAAAGTCCTCTTCACATTCTGAATTCTAGCATTTCTCAAACACCAACATCTTTCTGATAAGCGAATTTATGAAATCTAGAGCAAGGTTTAACTATTCACAGTTGCTTCATTGTAGTTTCTGTTTTAATCCTTTTCAACTACATCCCAATACTGGTACCTCTCCTACTTCAGACAGCTATAATGGATTGTTTAAAGTTTCACTTCAAGGACCACCAGTAGGTTCAGAATACTTTGACATGTTTAGAGTCATGGAGCATAATTCCGCATGAGTGTAGTGCTCCCCTTTTTTTCCAGCTTTCAGTTGTAGAAACCAAGGAAAGCCCTGGTTAAGGCAATGGAGTTTCTGCTTGCAAAAGAGGTACATTAATACCCCCATGTGCGAGCATGACCTCTCACACAATGGACTGTTGTATAAGCAGCAGAAACAACTGGATTCTGCCCACTGAAGAAAATAAGCACTTTAGAGTTTGATCTGTGGAGTGCTTTCTACAACTGAAAGGTCTCTTCTTGATACAGGCCGGCTTCTGGCCTTGTGAAGGGTTCTTCTGCATTGCTGCATTGTGCTGCCGAGTTTTTTTAAGACTTATGGTGACTCTATAACATAAGAACCTTCAAAAGATCCTAGCGTTAACAACACTGCACAGGTCTTGTGAAATAAGGCCCGTCGGTATTTCTCTTGAGTCAGTCCATATTATGTTGAGTCTTCCTCTTTCATGACTGTGTCCCACTTCTCCTAGCCTTGTTGTCTTTTCCAGCTCACTAAGTAGCTCAATGGCTTAGGTATCTGGCTGCAGAGCCAGATACCTAAGCCCCACTGTGCCTCCTGAGAGTAAAGCCAGCCTGCAATGCCTTGGGCAATCTGCACAGTCCCAGGGCACCCACTTTTGAGTATTCCCTACCTAGAATATCCTGAAAAGAGTCACCATAAGTCAGAACTGACTTAATGGCACATTGTTGATGTTGTTGTTGTTGTTGTCTTTTCCAGTGAATTTTAGCTTCTCATGATGTGCTCAAAGCACAATAGCCTAAGTGTACATATCTTTATGTCTAGAGAATTAGAGAACAGTGAAGTTAGAAGACGCCTATAAAGCCATCAAGTCCAACCCCCTGCTCAAGGCAGAAGGATAGCTGCCAGGTGGTTGTCTACGTTTCTCTTGAATGCCTCCAGCGTTGTAGCACTCACCATCTCTCAAGGTTCCACTGTCGTACTGCTCTAACAGGATGTGTTCCTGGTATTCAACCAAAATCTGGCTTCCTGTAGTTTTATCTGGCTTCTCCCAAGTTTGACTGGATCTAGCTCTCATTTATTTGTCTTTTTGGCAATCCACCATATCTGTAAGGCTAACTTCAAACACCACACACCCATGTGTAGGAACTAGAAACTGAATTGCTGCAATGAATTGAATTGCTAGCACAGTTCTGGTTTGAAGCCATGGTGGTTGAGGATTTTCTGTCTGTGATAAATGCAGTGAACCTAGAAGATCATGTGGGGTAGCATTGCTATTACTATACATTTCTTCCTACATTATTGTATGTACTAGGCTGAATAGCAGGGAAAAAAATTCTTAACTGTTAAAGCAGAACAACAGTGGAACCAATTACATCGGAAGGAGGTGAACACTTCAATGCTGGAGGCATTCAAGAGAAAACTAGACAACTATGCATCCGCTCTACTTTGATTTGGAATCCTGCATTGAGCAGGGAGTTGGTCTCAGCCTTATAGGCATCTTCCAATTCAATTATCCTATGGTTCTGTGTAATTGGGAGATGATATGCAGGCAGTGTCTCATAGGGTTACTTTTACACTGGAAGTAGGGCTTCCCTGCAACCAACAATGTTGGCATGGGAAGCAATTGTCTTGCTTATGTATACCTCCCATATGGGCTTCCCATTATACAATTAGCAGCACAGGAAATGGGCACCCATATACAATTAGCAGCACAGGAAATGGGCACAGTAAGAATCTATCACAGTAAGAATTTCAAAATAACTTGTGAACTAGCTTGCAGATTCAGTATATCTGTGCAGGCATCCTTCAATCTCGAGAGACTATGGTAACGTGCTCTGTATGGAGGTCTTGGAACAGTGTCTGGTATGGCTGAGAAGGCCAATTCGAGAGTGACAATCTCTTCCACAATTCAGTATATAGCTTTATATTAACCTCATGGGGCAATTTTCTGTGAGGATTATTTTCTAAATGCTTCACTTCAAAAATTAGATTTTAGACTCTAAATTGTGAACTGAAGCCTATAATTTTTCCTTGCTTGCTTGCTTGCTTGCTTGCTTGCTTGCTTGCTTGCTTGCTTGCTTCCTTCCTTCCTTCCTTCCTTGCTTCCTTCCTTCCTTCCTTCCTTCCTTCCTTCCTAGAAATCCATCATTTTTAAAATTCTTAGTATTACCAGGTGCTTCATCATCTATAGTAATATTAGCCAGAGAAGCACCTAACCTTATTGCATGTAGTTTCAGTCAAGTGGATAAGGCAGTGATGGAAGGCAAAGTCATGGGAGGACTGACAGATCATCAGTGATGACAAAACAGAAAAATGAAAGCCAGGGGTGAACAAGAGAAGAGTAACACGTGACTAGAGCAATATCAAATGAACATGTTCAGATATGCAAACATGACTAGACTACTATTGTCCTTTCTCTTTGCCAGGAAAGAACACGCTTTGAGAATTTAGGCCCACAGCTATCAGGGAAGCCAAGTGAAGATGGAAAACTAGGCCCAGGAGTCATTGATCTTACAAGGCCGGAAGATGCAGAGGGTGAGTTGCTGTTACAAATCTACTGAGTCACTGAGCATTGCTTCCTTTCAGCACTTTAAAGTTGGATGCTTTAAATGAGCATTGTGCAGCTAAGTCCCCATGCACAGCTTTGAGGCATTTTCCATAGATTTTAGTGACATGTACAAGTGTAAGTCCTGGTTTTAAAATGGTGTCATTCAATATGCATTATTTACACTCAGCTTCAACTCTTCTCATAAAGCTGTGCCCAAGTCATTTTGCATGCTACCTCAGCCAAATGATAGATACATTTTAACTGCTTACATGACTCCTGTAATGCTGGGCAAGGTGACTCACAGATATGCGGGGCTTCCTGAGTTGGAGGAAGATATACTCACAGCCATATTATGAGCCCCTTCTTTGTGTTACTGTGGAAACATTCACACAAACAATTAAATGTGCATATGACTTGGAGGATATAAAGAGAAGATATCTGCCTGTTGTCACTGTCCACATGATCAGCCCCAACACTGCCACCCTCTGCTATCTCGGATAGAAATGGCTGTTGAGGAGTGGCAATAAGTGAGTTGAACTGTATAATGAGAGTTTGCAACTGAGTATTTACACACATATGGGCAATATTCAGGAGCCAGTAAGTATGGCTCCTGGATATTCCAATGCATCCTACAGCACGTTTTGATATATATTATTGTTGTTATTATTATGAAAGAAAGAAAAGAGTAAGGAAGTGGATTATTCAGTTCATTGATTAATTCCGAATTAATTACAGTGATGTTTTCACTAGATATGTACAGCATGAAACGATATACCATGCTAGCAGCTTTACTGGTCAGTTAAGGGGATATGTTGTTTTCATGAAAACATTATGTCCATAGACAGTTTATAGGTTACAGTCTGGATTCTATTGAAACTGGTGGAAGTGTTCCCATTGATTTCAGTGGCCAAAGACTGCATACTGTCTTGTTTATTTTAATTAGTTGCTTGGACTGATCAGTTTAAAACAATAGCATTAATCAGCTAAAAGCCTTTAATTTCTTGACAGTTCATATTGTTGATAAGAGACTGAATTGACCTTATTTCAGTTTAAAATTTTCACTTGGACGGAAATGATATCAAATTTTAATTTTTTAAACCGTTTTTGGTTAGTGGAGCTTGGCAGAATAATAGAGTAACAAAAATAAAAAATAAACAAGCCAACAACAATGTAGAAATGTATTTCCACCTCATTCTTTCCTTCTTCTTTTGAGGTGACCTAAGCTGGTGGGACATGGTGGCGCTGTGGGTTAAACCGCAGAAGCCTCTGTGCTGCAAGGTCAAAAGACCAGCAGTTGTAAGATCAAATCTACGCGATGGAGTGAGCTTCTGTTGCTTGTCCCAGTGTTTGCCAACCTAGCAGTTCGAAAGCATGCAAATGCGAGTAGATAAATAGCTACCACCACGGTGGGAAGGTAACAGTGTTCTGTGTCTAGTCATGCTGGTCACATGATCATGGAAACTGTCTTTGGACAAACGCTGGCTCTATGGCTTGGAAACAGGGATGAGCACTGCCCCCTAGAGTCAGACATGACTGAATTAAATGTCAAGGGGAACCTTTACCAGACATGACTTAATGACCAAACAACAATAAAGCTGGCTACATAGCTCAGTGAGTTAGGTATTTGGCTGTGGAGCCAGAGGTTGGGAGTTCAGTTCCCCACTCTGGGTCCTATAAGGGCCGGCCTGTGTAGTCTTGGGCAAGCATCACAGTCCCAGGATGCCCCCAGAAGAAGGGAATGGTAAACACTTTGTATATCGCATGCAGTGCAGAATGAAGAGAACAGAAGATGTCCCTTTTCGCTTTGTGGGGCTTCCCTAGATTTATTCTGTTTCTTCTCTCATCCCTCCACATTTCCTTTACATATGACTTAATACTTTGATGGCTGTAACATCATGGGATGGCCCTGTCATTAGGTACAATGAGGCAACTACTTGCAGTAATGGATGGTGGGGAGAGGACAGTGGATTCTCCAACTGTTGCTCTTTGATCCTGTGGGTGCCATGAAGCCTGACTTTCCTCTTTGCTCAGCAGTAACGTGCTGCCGTCATGAGCCAGTGGAGGGAATTTCACTAAAAAGCACCAACTGTCACTAAAAAGCAAAGCAAAGTGTGCTGATATATATAAAGGCAGCTGGACCAGATGGAATCATGGGACGAGTTATTAGGGGCTGTGCTGCAGAATTAGCTGGAGTTTTTACGGATATTTTCAATCTATCCTTGTTGCAGTGTTCAGTCCCCACTTGCCTGAAGACATCTATTATAGTGCCAGTCCCCAAGCAGTCAGCTGTGGTATCTCTCAATGATTACAGACCAGTAGCTTTAACATCTGTTGTTATGAAATGTTTTGAGAGATTGGTGCTGGATTACATTAAGGCTAGTCTTCCACCTTCTTTGGACCCATGGCAATTTGCATACAGGAAAAATAGATCTACTGATGATGCTGTGTCCATTGTACTCCATACTGTATTGAGCCACTTAGAACA